GTGGGCAGTGCACACCACGCAGGGAGGGGACAAGATGGCTGTGGAGGATCACGGAGAGGCTGAAGGTTGGAAACGCGAAGCTGGAGGAAATAGACATGCTTCAAGAGGTGACAAAGCAGACACACCATCTGTACATTGGGCGATGCTGCTGCTTGGCCTGTGCAGGGACATATCAGTGTGCGGTGTGCGCCCATCCACTATGCTTGGAGCTACTGGTTTGGAAGTGCTTATTCATTGGCTGGGCCTACCTGATTTTGAAGATTATTGGAAGCCTTTTGACTTGCTTCGAGACCAATTTCCTCATTTTAACCTTGAGGACAAGGTTAGACTTTGGGCGGCGGGTAATGGTAGGCCCCCAGTTAACCTTACGTATGCTAGGAGAAAGAAAATACAGCATAAGGGGGAGATGATTAGACATGGGGCATTTATGGAGGAGGTCAGAAGGGAATCGGAAGAGTCTTGGGGCATTTATAGCTATATCAGTTATGAATAAGAAAAGTTTTTGGGCATTTATAACTAGGCCAGCTAGGCATTTATAGAGGGAGTCAGTTATGCTATCAGAAGAGTATAAGAAGGGGCTTTGGGGGATGAGGGGTGATATGCTTTTCTTTGAATGAAGAATACTGTGAGTGATTGGAAGAGCCGACGATCTCTCGAAGAACCGACCAACTGTTAAATGTTTCTTATGAATACCAATTTCTTTTGTTGATGTTCTAGTTATATGAACTCTGCTGTGGGTTTGAGAACTGTCTGTGAGTTTTTGGGACATAACATCAAACCAAACATAGCCCAAGTGTGCAATGAGTGAGATGATGATTATGGTCTAAAATGCATCGTCGCCCATTCGCTTTCACGGCTTCACGATTAGTGTCGGCGATGACGCGATTATTCACCGTAGCGCTTGCGAGTTGCAAGTTGAGACTACTTGGTTTGGGGCCCCGCCACTTCCTCCCATTTCGTACTTTAGCTACCTTCCTCAATCAGTACAGCTCAGCGGACGCCACCCATTTCTCATTCTACTCTATTTTATACCACGCATGGCGTCCGTTATCCCTTCCCTTTTTCCTTTTCTACAATTTCGATTTTTTATTGATTCCGTCCTGTCCTTCCAAGAAACATAGGCTATCCTACCATTTCCACGTGGCGCCATCAACTGCCGACAGCCACGTAACGGCACCATCTCCATTGTGACTTCTTTCATTCATTGCCCGTTCCGCCCGCTATCCGGTTGATTTACCGGACACGTGTTCAATACCCTTGTCTTCTGGGTCGATCACTCAACACAACAGGCTTTCTTCAGCTCGATCGATCGAGCCAGATAAAACCGCTTTATAACGCTCTTTTTCTGATTTCTCCAGTCCACCACCATTTTCGCTTTCTCTCTCCCTCTCTCTCGTGTCGCAGGGTCTGAGAAACGAAACCCCTCGAAAAAGGAAACCTCCCACAAAAAGCGTCAATCTTTCCGGTCCAATTTCGCCGGAAAACCCGGGGGAGTCGCCTTATAGAGCTTCTGATGCTTCCCACATCCGATTCCCCGCCGCCGGAACCCCAATTTCTAAAAAGACCCAAAACCCCGGATTACACAGACCGCAAGAACCCTCTATACTCGGTCCACATCTACACCTCTACCCATCCTCGAACATGGCTCTTACTCAGCATTCTCTTCCTCCAGCTTTTTCTTCTCTTCATGCTTCGTTCTGTCCCCGTCTCTATTTCTTTCCGGTACTTCTCCTCTCAGGACACTACCACCACCGCCACAGTAGCCGACGTCTCAAGTTACGCATGTGATAATGGTAAGGTTTATGTTTATGATCTCCCCACTATGTTTAATACAGAACTTACCGAGAATTGCGAACGGTTGAATCCTTGGCACTCTCGATGCGACGCACTTTCCAACGATGGTTTCGGCCGGAGAGCAACGGCACTCACTGGAATCGTGCCGGAGAATTTGACACCAGCGTGGTACTGGACTGACCAGTTTGCCTCGGAGATCATCTTTCACAATCGGATGTTCGCCCACCACTGTCGAACCCTAGACCCCGAATCTGCAACAGCATTCTACGTACCGTTCTACGCCGGACTCGCTGTCGGTAAGTATCTGTGGTCCAATTACAGCGCTCGCGACCGTGATTTCCATTGTGAGATGTTGTTGAAGTGGGTCCAAGAGCAACCGTTCTGGAGGAGGTCGAACGGCTGGGATCACTTCATCATGCTGGGTCGCATCAGCTGGGACTTCCGACGGTCCAAGGACGAGGATTGGGGGTCCAGCTTCATCTACATGCCCGCGATGAAGAACGTTACACGGCTCTTGATCGAACGGAACCAGTGGGACTACTTCGACGTCGGAGTTCCGTATCCCACTGGATTCCATCCGAGAACGGACTCGGACGTACGGCAGTGGCAGGATTACGTACGGACACGCAACCGTGGGACACTCTTCTGCTTCGCCGGAGCTACACGTGGCGTATTCAAGGACGACTTCAGGGGACTGTTGTTAAGACACTGCCGTAGCGAGTCGGGCTCGTGCAAGATCGTGGACTGCGCCGGGAGTCGCTGCTCGAACGGCACTTCGGCGATCCTCGAGACGTTCCTGAACTCGGAATTCTGTTTACAGCCCCGAGGGGATAGCTTCACGAGACGTTCCATATTCGACTGTATGGTGGCCGGTTCAATCCCGGTCTTTTTCTGGAAGAGGACGGCTTATTATCAGTACGAGTGGTTCCTGCCAGGCGAACCGGAGAGCTACTCGGTGTACATAGACCGGAACGAGGTGAAGAACGGGACGTCCATTAGAGAAGTGCTTGAAGGGTTTAGCAAAGAAGAAAAAAGGAGAATGAGAGAGAAGATCATCGATTACATACCCAGGTTTGTTTACGCAGAGCCTAAAGAGGGGCTGGAGAGTATCAAGGATGCATTTGATGTTGCTCTTGATGGGGTGTTAAAAAGATTCAGGGAGCAAACCAGATGGAAATAATCAAATAAATGCTAGGAAATTTGAGAATTAAAAGACTGAGAAGCCAATAAACTATTTATTTTGTGCGAGTCCGAGAGGTGAGAGATGATATATATTTACAAAAAGAGAAAGATTAAGATTATAATTTAGAATAGTTTGGGAGAAAATTAGATAGAATTTTGGATCGATTTCATGGCATGCATGGCAGAACTCAGAAGGTAAGGTGGGTGGGATATTGAAGGAAGGTAGTTAAATTTAGTTATTTTACAGTTTTTATGATGCCACGTGGGATTACATATGCAGGCAATGTTTTATATATATATATATATATATATATTTTATATATATTTTGGAATTTTTTTGGAGATTGAGTTTGTAATTTTGTATATATATATTATTTCACTATAGTCATGTGAAGTTGGATAAATGTCATTTGAGTATTTATGATGGAGGTTTCTGTATTATTGTTGCTATAGTTTTAATTTCAATGTAGAGTTATAGAGCTTGGACGGATCTCTTTTTTTTTTTGGCATTGTTAGCCATATACATTCCATTAATGAGATTTATATGAAGGGCTATGGGGTATAATCAAAGATCACTCAGAGTAGTCAGGATCAAAATTCAGAAGCTTGGGAATTGGTGTTAATTAATAACTTCACCATAGATATACTTTACCTAAAATACCAAAAAAAAAAAAAACTAATATTTCACATGGGACATATATGAAGTAATGAGGCCCACTTTCAATTAGTGAGGCTCCCCTTTGATGAGCATGGGGCCATGGGTTATCTCTATTCTTTGGCTTATTTACCTTTGTTAAAGTTTGGTTGAATAGTTTAAATTCAGTGAACCAGTCTGAGTAGCACTTTTGCTGGGGAGGGGAGGGGGTTGATATCGAAAGGTACTTTTTTGTTTTAAAGAGGATGGGGGAATAAAAAGTGATGAATGGGTGGCCTGTGTCAGTGGTCAATGGTGGGAGAGTAGATTATAAAACCATCAATATCATATCATTAGATGACATAAAAAAATATTAAAGCAATTTTATTTGCACTAATACAAGTGTATGAGAGTGCAAATGAAAAAAGAAGCAAATTTTCATTTTATTTTGTTTTGGGTTTTATTTTATTTACATTGCAATCAAATAAAATAAGCTAAAATTTAAAATAAAAATAAGTCAGAATTTACAATTGAATCATTTGCACTGTCATAGTTTCGTTAGTGCAAATTTATTTACATTACAATCAAATAAGTGGAAGAAAGCTTGAAACAGAAGGGGAAGAAGAACCTAGAAAACCTCCAATCTAAGGCTTGTGAAGTCAAGGGAATGAGTTGGTAGACTGCTTGAGATGTTGGTAAACTAAGGATCCCGACAACAAAGAGAAAGCGTGTATAAAATAAGATCAAAATGAACCGAATTTATTAAATTGTTCATTTATTTTATTTTAAATGTCGTTGAAAGAGCTTAAGTGGGTGCCACAGAATTTACTTGGAGAATAATTCTTGATGACCCTAGAAAATTAAACCAATAAGACTAGATTTAAACTTTTCTCCGCATACCGCATTAACGAAATTTCATTTCTGCAACAATCATAGTCAATAATCGAGAAGATACGTCGATTTCTGTCTCTGTGTGTTGTACAGGAAGAAGGGGGGAAGGGGCAGGTACACAGAGTCCGCATTTCAATGGATGGATGCACCGACAAGGAGCCATGGTAAATACTTACCGACAAGAAATCTGAACAATAACCCAGTAATTAACAAACTTATTATTACAGGTTACAGCCCAACAGGAAAGGAGAGAATATGAAGCTTAGTTTGCGACGATAATCGTTCAACTGGAGAATAGAGAGTTAATTTGATCAGTTTCAATTGAATAAGTTAAGATAGCAAATCCCAATTGTCGATCTAATGCAAGTAGGTTTGATTAAAAGAATACGCTGGGGCTGGGTGGAGGATTCATCCTTCATCATTCAACCCACCGACGACGTCTTGAGTTGCTCTCCAGTCTGCCCAAGCCCAACATGCCATGATTAAAACTTAAAGAAGTGAAATCATGAAGCCTGGTGTGTGTTGAGTGCATCTCACATCTCCCCCCTCATAACTCGATTACCTTCACATGGCTTTACCATATGCACCAGCATTTTTCTTTTTTATTTTGCGCTATTATTATTAACTAGTAAACGTGTACGGATATTTGCACGTGGCAATAGATTATAGGCCAAACGAAACTATACATGAATACATGATTATTAAAATTATTAAATGTAGTTAATTCACCTCAAACATGTTAATAGAGAAATTGAAAATTGTTGGCAAAGCTTTGCTTCCCACATAAATTTCTGCATCAACTTTAAATGCTTAAATTGGACTTCCATTTTGAGAATATCAAGTCCAACTCTGAGCACAATCCAGATGCAGAGAAAGTAACTCGATAAGTATATTCTAGGGAAAAAATTCAGTTCAGCAAAAAAAAGGAAAGAAATGAAGAAAAAAAAAAGAGTCTAATACCTATCAATCTGGTTTTTGAGCTTCAACAAAAACCTCTCATTATCCTCCTCGGTAACTCTCAACAACCTCTCTAATAGAATTTTCTTCTCCAGTAAACATAGACTCTAAATATCAACTTCTTTAGTCTCACCCCCTACTTCAGACAATAGACCTTTCCTTATATGATTATAAGTGGGCAGTTTTTGAAATGAAAGTAAAGGACATATATGTCCTCTTTATGCCCACTGTATGCTTAGACAAGGGATAGAAAACATCTAGTGAAAATTCTAGAAGAAAGGGCATTCACTCTTTTATAGGTAGTATGGATATCAAACAAACAAATAAAAAATAATCAAATCAAACCCCAATAAAAATGATAAGTCATGTGAGAGGAAAACCGGAAAAATTCTCCAATTTCGCCTACAAAGCTTCATTCTCATCTCAGAATGAAGAGGACATTACCATACAATTAGGAACGGCAATGGGGTAGGGTGGGGACGGGGAGCCTCTCCGCACTCGTGATTTTTTATAATGTCAACCATTTTGTTTTTGTTTTTTTTTTTAAAATAATTAAAAATTACAATCATATTAAAAAAGATTCAAACATATTCAACCATATTTTAAAAATACTAATATATAGCCACGTGTATAGATATATACATATATAAATGTATGGATACATATATACATATATTAGAAAATAACTAGTAACAATACAATTTAAATAAATCAATAAATAAATAATATTGTAAATAGCTAATTTCACTTATATCAATTAATAATTATAGAAAATAACTTAAAAATAATATTTATTATATATTTATATGTATACTAAAATTAATATTTATTTTATTTTCAGTAATTATTAATTGTGTTTTTTAATAAATATGTTTTCAATAATTATTTGTGAATCTATTTTTGTTTTTTTATATAATAGTAAATTGTCAATAATTATTGGAGATTAAACAACTATTATTTAACTTTTGAATTTTAATTTATCGTATTTGTTGTATTTTTCTATAAATTTATTTTTAGTAATTATGTATTTTTTATAATTTATTGATTAATATTTATTAGAGATCAAACTATTATTTTAGTTTACACTATTTATTGACTAATTTAATATATTTTCAATATTTATTGTATTTTTATTAGATATCTATTGTTATTTATAAATTTATTTTCAATAATCTTGTATTTTTGCTATACATTTTCAATCTAATGTAGATAAATTAATATTACATAATAACATCAAAATAAATAAAACTCAATAATCTTGTATTTTTGCTATAAATTTTCAATCTAATGTAGATAAATTAAATTTATTTTCAATAATTGTATTCTCATGCTGTTTCGCCAACCAAAGTGACCTGGTTAGGTTGGAAGTTTATCACCCGAAACGATTGACCATTAGTGAAAACCTACGAACTCGGGTTGTATCAGTTTGTGTCTATTTTCGGTTTGGTTTGTTTGTTCAAAAGATTTAAATTTTAAAAATAAATTTAAATTTAATAAATTACAATGGTATTATTAGAAAAATAAATTTATGATATAAAATATTTTAAACTAAGAAATACGAAAATTTCTCACTTTTCTGTATTAAAAGAATTATATTTATAATGTAACGCCCATACATCGCACGGTCCCCGCTAGTATATGCATAAATAACAGCGCTCTCTCTCATATCATACACATTAGGGGTACAATTTGAGTGGATGTTGATTGAGGTTCATAATATAATGATTTTTGGGCCTCTTGGCAAAGAAAATAATAATTATGTAAGCAACTGGCGTCGCCATGACTCGAACCGGAGACCTTCGGTGTGTTAGACTGGCGTGATAACCAACTACACCACGACACCTCGTTATAAAAAGAACAAACATATATAGCTTTCCTGCAACAGGAGAGCTCGCCTCATCAGCCCCAACAGCCAAAGTTTTTTCTGTTGTGGTTTCTGTATGTAAACTTATAAATCGTCATGCCTTCACTTTCACTTCCACTTTCCTTGACTATTCATTTCCGAAGAACAAGGAAGAAGAATTGAATAGGGATGATTCACAACAGAGGTGATTGGAGAAGAAAAGGGATAAGGAAAGCAATAGCGAGCAGAATAAGGAAGAAGAGAAAAGCTGATGTAGTAGATAGACCTGGCAAATAGTTGACCCAACCCGCGAATCTGACCCAACCCAACCCGAAAAAACAGGGTTAGGGTCTCATATTTAGCTACCCGAATGTGAAAATGACCCGACCTGGCCCGATCCGAAAAAACTGGGTTGGGTCATGGGTCAACCCGTTGACCCGATTGTCAAGTTTAATTTGGATTATTTATGCATTGTTAGAAGTTTTCACTCTTTAATTTTTTTATTTAGTCTTAACTTTTTATTGTTTACTCTTTAAATTGTTAAATGTTCAAGTTTTTTATTTTATATTTGGAATTTTAAGGTTAATTCTTTTAATTTTGACATTTTTCATGTAATTTTTCTTTATTTTTTTTTAATTTTAATTATTTTTTGGGATGACCTGAATGACCCATGGGTCAATCCTAACCTGAACATTTAGGGTTAGGGTCTAGCATTTGACAACCCAGCTCGAAATTCAACCTAAAGTACCTTGACCCAACCAGAACCCGACCCACCCAACCTAATTGAGAGAACAATTAGATTCAAAGCATGTGGCCATCAACAACTCATCAAGAAGAAGATTAGATTGACGGAGGACACTGACGACCAGGAATTCACATCGTTGTCCCCTTAGGACAGAAAATTTGTCCCTAACCAGCCACACTCGCCTGTTCGAATTTGATTGGACAGCACAAACATCAGATCTAATATGAGTTGAAGATCCGATCACATTTCACAAACACATATT